AACCTGCACAAGGAGTGGGAAATAAATGATTTCCAGTTCGTGTCTCATCTGAGCGAAGGTTTCAGTGACACAACTTCCTACCCTCCAATCAAAATAAACACGACTGAGCCATCCAAATACCATTTCATAGCATTTATAAAGGATTAGAGCAAAAAGCCAGAAATTTGCTTGTTGGTCAGCCTCAAAGTGTGAATTTTGCTTCTTTCAAGAGAGAAAATGAATTGAATGGTGCCACAAATGTGACTAATTGTGCTGCAAAGGGAATAGTTTGGCAGCTGAGGCTGCTTCAGACACCTCTGCTGATCCAGAGCTGAGCAGAGTTTTGCCTTAGGCTTCACCATACACAGAAGGGATATTGCCCTGTAAAATTCATGGGCATGATTTAGTGTAAAATATTGGCAAGTGAAATAAAAAGTCTAAATTATCCAAGTTAAGGTGACCCAAAACTAATACAGAACTTTATTTTTTAAACAGATCTGCTTAAACTGCAGAATTTTCCAGCGTCTGAATAATGTTCCAAACATTTTCACTACCCTAATTAATGACTTATATTAGTCATAAATCCCTTTTTTAAGACTTCTAATGGAAAAATATATCAGATTGGCTGGTATTCTTTTCAATTTCCTTTTCAATTTTGGTGATGTGTGATGCAAAATGGGATATCTTCATCCTTTCAACACCATAGTGAATCTTGGAAAATTCATCACTGCAGGGTAAATGATTTGTCACATATTGTCAGTGATCCAAATGATCAGAAGTTTGGATATGAAGTCTTTTCCTTCTGCTTGACATAGGTAAAAAATGTTGGCATACATATCTAACCTGATGGTATGGCATCTTACCATATAGCAAGGAAATAATCACTGATTGTATCTGTGAGAGCCTGAGGGGAGGAAATGGAAGTTCCAGTCCTCTATGGATATTGTACCATGAAAGATATTGCACAGATACAGAAATTAAAACTGATTTTTATCCTGAACTGTTGCTAAACTAAATATACGGCAAGGATCAAGTGTGAGCAAACTGGTCACTTCACCTAAGGACAGAGACTGACAAGTGTGACTGTCAGATATTTCAGCACAAAACATCCTGCATAATTCTGAGACATCTTGCACTTTGAGGGTCATTTCTTGCCCTTTTCAGTAGTCTTTTGTTCACCCTTTAAATCCAAATTTTGAACACTTTCAGGTTTTTACAGGTGCCGACCAGTTCTGGATTTATAGACAAACTGAGATTGAGGTTTCAGAAATCCTAGCAAGATTTTTACTCATTTCTGCTCCATTGACAAGCTGCTACTACATATCTACTCACTCCTGTTTTGGATGCAGGGTTTTATACTGCTGCACATCACACTGATAAACCTGTATCTTCCAGTGAAAATCACCTGAGCAACTTCACAATCCTCCACTACTCCTCCACTCTTCCAGTCTAAGCTCACTTTCACGTGTATTCATTAAATCAGTTGCTAATAAGTTTTAACACAGCCTGGTTAATCATGCTAAAACAAGAATAGAAACTTTCTTTTTTCCTTATTTCAGCAAACAAAAACCTGCCATGGACCTCAAAGACCAGTATTAGCTCAGCTGATACACACCTACTTGTTAGCTTTTCTTTTCAAGCAAAAAAAAATGCATCAAAATTCAGCTGTGAGCATTTTGAAGATGTCTCTTTTTTTGGCTTTTTCTCAAATCAAAATGTCATAGAATCATAGAATCATCAAGGTTAGAGGAAACCTCTAAGATCATCGAGTCCAACCATTGACCTGTCACTGCTGGAACTCTAAACCCTAACCCAGATCCTCCAGTGCCACATCAGACACCTCTGAAACACCTCCAGGGATGGTGACTGCACCACCTCCCTGGGCAATCTATTCTAGTGCCTGACCAATCTAACAGGGAAAGTGTTTTTCCAAACATCTCATCTGAATCTCTAGCATCTAATCTGAATCTCAAAATATGATCAAAATCAAATACATAATGATTAGAGCATGAGCTGCACCTTTCGTGCATTTCTTTGTCTGTCAGTCAGTTATTACTCATGACAAGTAACATCAGAATGCTGATTCACATTTTAGCAAATGATACCTTTCACTGTAGGAAAACAGCAAATTCAAAGCAAATTATCTATTGCTTAGCTGGTAAAATTCCTCTGTATATTTGTATTTTCTGTCTGTCACTCAAGTTTTCTGTCTTTTGTTTTGAGAGAAAAGGGTTTTATCATTGTTGATTGTCTAGAGTAAAAGAAAAGACACAAATACCTGAAACTGTTTTAAAACTGTAAAAGCAAAGAATATTATTGGAATGGCTTCCCTGGATATTAACATATTCAGGTGTAGTTTAGTTTTTTTCACCACTTGCTCATGATATATTACAGGTAACAAATCATGGACATAAACTAATTTCTCAGTTTTCAAGAGCTAGTGTGGTCTAAGTTAATCAGTGTGCATGATCTGATATCAAAAATAGTTTGGGATATTGAAAGCAGATGGGAGAGTTCATAAGGAATAGAACTCCAAAAGTTTTATATGCTGTTTAGCTAAACACACACATTTTATTCAGCCCTCCTGCCATCCATCCCACATCTATTCCTGAGGCTGACAATAAATTGCTCGAAGTTAATTGTTCATAAACTGAGGAATTCATCACAAGCTACTTCACCACTGGGTCAGATAACCTACAATAAAACTTACAACAGCGTGGAGATTTGGGTTTAAAGCCAAGTCACAACTGTTTTCTTCAAGTGGCTATTTTAACTGTGCTGAAATACATGAAGAGATACAGAACAAGGGATTGCCTTTGCTCCTAAATTAATCCAGCTAAATCTGGTTCTAATTAGTTATTGTGCACAGGATCTTTCAGGATCAACATTCTAAGAGCTTTGAAACTTTTATCAGAGGTATGTAAAGTTTTCTTGTTAGCCTGATCCTCCCTGTTGGACAATGGCCAAGCTGCTGTAGGTTGTTGTGCTAATGTGAATGGTAGAGGTGGATCAGGTTTGGAATAGTTTCTCTAGGAAGAAAAGGATGTTGGGTGTGGATGTTGGCTTTGCTAGCAGGTTTGCACAAAACCTTTTCAAGGACAGGCACATTGGTTGAACCCACATGGGAGAGTGGGGACAACTCTAGGGTGCAGCCTCCAAGGGCACATTGACTTCAGAGCAGGAGTGGAGTTCACTTTCTGAGAAAACTGGAGTGCATGAAGAAGAATGGAACCTCCAGACATGGAAGAAATGACTGGGAGTGCATGAAGAAGAATGGAACCTCCAGGCATGGAAGGAATGGCTGGAAGACCAATCCTGGAGAGTGCATGGTGTAGCTGTCATCTCCTGTCACGGGGTCATGGCCACCCTGAGCTGGAATCAGAGTTTGCCTGAATGAAGGATCTTCCTTCAGAGTGCACTTGGCATTAGAAATCTGTCTTATTTCCAAATGTCAATTAAAAGACTCCCTAATACTCACTCTGTTTGCATCTATGTCCTTCACCCTTTCCAGCTAGCTACCTACAGAGATAAAGGATTTACATTCTGGAGTCTAAAGAGCAGTATTAATTCTGTTTATCCTGGAATCTGTGTGTCTGGGATCCACGGAAGTTGGTCAAATGAAGCAGAAGACATGGAAACACAAACTTCCTTAACATATTTTTCCTAAGTGCTGGAAATGTTAAAGCCCAATAGATAAAAATATAAAATAATGAATACAATAATAAACTCTTTGAAGAATTTTTTGTGCTTTTAAAACATCATTTCTTGATCCCTTGAAATTACAGAATTCCCAATGGATGCCTAGAAAAACAGCCACTAAATACCTTTCTCAGGTAGTATTAGTTTTGATGTAGGGGTGAAAGTTCATCTGGTTTTTGGTGTAGTTTCAGTCATCTGATAAAAATACAATTTTCTCCTCTTAATTTTGCTATGTTACAGAAGTCTTAGCTTTGTAAGACTGATTTTAGAACTCATTGTCAGTGGATGTCCAAGACTCTGATCAGTATTTATCAGGGCAGGACTTGTTGAATGAGTTTCTCCTTCAGAGAAAAATGTGAGGATCCATAGGACTTCCCATAATTCAGGCAAGCTCTCAGAGTGGCCAGTGGGACAATCTGCTTCCATTTAAGCAAATAAAATTCACATTGATCTCACAGTAGGAACACGATCAAGTTAATTTATTTACTTAGTTCTGTCTGAGGAAAGGTTGAGAAGCACTTCAAGATTAGACCGTGAGGTTTCAGGCCTACAGCAAATTCCATGGGATGAGTCTTTGTTCCCAGGCTGAACTAGGACTGGAATCTGTCAAAAACTGGTGAAACAATTTAGAATGAAGAGTGGGAGCAAAGCGTAACAATCTGTGACTCATGGATATTGGAAGGTCAGGCACAGTACAGGAGTTTGTTCTGATCCTTGCATGACTTCTGAACCCACTAACTCTTAAGAATTTGAGTTGCAGTTTGTTGGGTGTTTTAATGGCAGTGAGGAATATTTGGGTGAATTGCTGCAATTTGAAACATTTGACAATACTGGGGAAGAATCTTCTTGTAGTGAATTGGTTAATGTAAAGGAACAAATAAACCTAGAATGTAAAAATACACCTGTCACTCATCACCACCACGATGGGTGAGCTATGCTATTGCAGCTAATAATCAGAGAATTTTAGCTGTCTGATTTTAAGATACAATGCCAAATGCAAATATGAAAAGGGCCCAAACTTCTTCTTCTTATCCCTGAAAAGCTGCAAATTTATTCAATCTTTAGCCTCTTTTTATCTAGCTCTATCTTTTAATGACTATTCCTTTTGAATGCTCAGTTTTTATCTTACGTTTTCTACAACCAGAAATCATTGTGTTACTCCCTAACTGCATCTAGATTTTACCCTTTACCTGCTGTTCCAGGCAAATTTTAATCAATGTACCATAATATTGCCAAGACTGTCTTTCCTTGAGCTCAGAAAATGCTTCTAAGAAACATAATAGAGGAAAAAACATATAGTTTGCCCTGCTACAACTTCAAAGATCCCAGTCCTAGACTGATATACTCACCAGCAAGGCACAGCACCTTCTCAGCACAGCTTCTTGGCACTGCAGGACTGAAACTGAGTTCTGTTTTCAGAACTGTTGAGTATAAGATGAACTTTTTCTAACACAGAATCACCAGTTTGGGCTAGTTTTGTTAGAAGGCAGCCTTGAAAAAAAATCTAGTTGGATCTCATCAGAGGCAATTTATACAAACAATAAAAGGATATAAAAACAGATTTATAAGATGCTTCTTACTCAGATTTACATCTCAGGAGATGAAAAATCGTAAATTTTGTCTATTTGTCTCAGTGGTGTAAAAGACTAACCTAGGCATAATTTGAAGGAAAGTAGGAAGTCATTACTTCCCAAATTACACCACAACCAATTACTTTCAGGATGGCACATGTCATTCAAGCTCTCACTTCATTGAGACACCCCTGCTGCAGCTAATGCTGCCTGGAATGCAATTTTAATGTGGGCAGCAGCAAGAGGATTAAGTCTGACGTGTGGAAAGTTACAGTGGAAGATTGACAACAGTTGAGTGTGCTGAAGGAAGAGACTCCCAATGACAGATTGACAGGACTGTGAAGCTTGTGACATAAAGATCATTACCAATTAAGATGGAGGTGAAGGAAGAACTGGGGTCAAAAGGGCACCTGCCTCGTCCTCTCTCAAATTTGTGCGATTCCAGTTGAAACAGATGACCCTTGAAAAAAAAAAAGAAAAATCACAGAGAACACCATGAACCCTACAGGCAAAGCAATAAAGTCCTTAGAGACAAGTTTGAACCTTGTTATACCTTTGTAATGGATTGACTTCATTAGGGAGAAAAAACAATTAGGGTCACTCAGTGATGCAGCAGCAAAAATTCTATGGGTTTCTACAAATTACGTTTGTGTGTGCAGTGCCCAAAAAGAATCAGAAATATATGCACTAAAATTGCATTTATTTCTGTGGGAGTAGGGAGGGAAGATTCCCCTATCTTTTCTCCAAATTATCTAAACCTTAAATAGATATCTTGCCATGGAATGTGTTTTCCCCCTGTAAACATTTTTTTCCCAGTAGTTCTTAAATATATCACACTGTGTTATCTTTTTCTTCGTAGCTTTAAGATCTTTATATATCTTCTTCATAGAAGTATGTTTAGGAAATGAATCCCCAGTTATGGTTTTTGGAGCAGATGTGATTTCTGCAGTGGATTTAACAGAATATCAGTCTAAAAAAATATTGGCAACATGGTTTAACTTGTCTGAAAAAGGCTTTAAAGACTGAGAAAGGATTTACAATTTAAATTTGCCTTTGCAATGCTATGTTTGTCTTAGCTTTCACAAAAAACAGCCCATTAATGTCTGATTAAAATATCAAGTGAGGTCACAATATATTTCATTTAGATATTAACAAAAGCAGAATATCAGTCTAAAAAAATATTGGCAACATGGTTTAACTTGTCTGAAAAAGGCTTTAAAGACTGAGAAAGGATTTACAATTTAAATTTGCCTTTGCAATGCTATGTTTGTCTTAGCTTTCACAAAAAACAGCCCATTAATGTCTGATTAAAATATCAAGTGAGGTCACAATATATTTCATTTAGATATTAACAAAAGAGTACACCACAAGGGGATGGGGAAAAACAGCCCATTAATGTCTGATTAAAATATCAAGTGAGAGCACAATGTATTTCATTTAGATATTAACAAAACAGTACACCACAAAACATGGGGATGGGGAAAAATGGAAGGTCAAACAGAGAGAAAGCTATAAAAACTTGATAAAATATATGCCACACAGCCATCAAGTGTGTGACTAGAAACCATTTCAACTGTTTAACTTTTCCAATGTTGTCTAACAGTTTGACTCAAAAGTCTATTGAAATGGAGGTTATATCGACATAGGGGATCATAGAATCATAGAATTTAAGGGTTGGAATGGACCTTACAGATCATCCAAATGTAAGTAAGAGACCCAAACCTCATGATGTAACAAGGTGTTCACAATCTTACCTCTCCAGCAGCTCCTGTGTTGGCCTAACCCACTTAGTGCCTGATGTTAAAGCTGATGCAGCAGAAAATAACCATCCTGGGTAGAGGCTGGTGGTGCAGGAATATTACTTTCTGCTGTATCAGCAGCAATTACCCATCAGGAGTAACTATTCCCCCTCTGCTCTTGGGTAAATGTTAAACAATGAAGAAATATTTCTCTGTGTAAATCTCAGTCTCATTCCATAGTTTTCAAACATCACATACCAGGTATTTATCAAAGCTAAATTCCATAACACTTTGAGTCAACGGTGGGAAAAAGAAGAGTAAGGTGAACTCAGGAAGGGAAAGGAAAACTTTCTGAAATCACACTAAAGGATTAGGGAGTCATAATTGGCATAAAATATGATGTAAAGGAAACCTCTCTAAAAAATCACACTAAAGGATTAGGGAGTCATAACTGGCATAAAATATGATGTAAAGGAAATCTCTCTAAAAACAGGCACAGGGTGTGATTGTCAGGGATGTCCTGTGCAGGGCCAGGAGTTGGACTAAATGCTCCTCAAGCACCTCTTCCAACTCTGATTATTCTGTGAACAGTTTGATGTTATTTATTCTCTAAGTGTGCATTAAAAATAAAGCAACTAATGAAGAATTTTTATCTTCTGGGATATCAGCTAAACCATTTGTCAATGAATCAGTTCAATAAAGATATAGAAGTCAGTGGAGAGAGAAACTGAGGGTTAAACATTAATAGATTTTTCCAGTTTTAATGCTTTCTGTTTACTTTTCCCCACAGCAAAATAAAAATTGACTTCTCTATGAAAGGAAAATGTAATAAATTTAAAGCTGATTACAGAAAAAAATAACTCATAGGTAAAGTGATCAGGTGTGAGAACAAAATTGTTTTGAAACAATACTTGAAGAAGTTGTATTATCCACATTTCCTCCTACATAGGAAATAGAGACAGAAAGATTTTGTGCTGTAGGACAAGACATGATGCCCCCACACTTCATATTTAGGTCTTCACCTGGTAAAATGCCACTGATCCTCAGACCAGGGACACCTTACCAGGATGGGAGTCTTACAGATGACATGGAAGGATTCTGTGGGACTGTACATGAAGTTATACTATCACAATAAAAAAGTCTCTAATGTAGTTAACTATATATCCCTGAGAATCTAAATTAAATCAATGGTAAAAACAAACTCATCTCTTTTAACAGTCCTGACATGAATGTGATCAAACAGCTAACTATATGACTGTGGAATTGAAATGTTAAACAACACAGAATCACAGAATCATCAAGGATGGATGAGACTTCTGACATCATCCAATCCAAGTGTACATGCTTAATATCCATTCATTATCTGCACTTTAAAGCTGGAATTGCTGAATAAGGATTGTAGCTCAAATATATAACCTAATATTAATGCTGAAGGTAGACAAAACTTTGGATTTCAGTGCAATTTGCTGGAATTTCTTAAGTTCTGATATAAAGCAGGATGTGTATCTCAGAAATCCTTGCAACTGTCTGAAAAGTCACTGAATATGTAAGCAATGACTCCTCCAAGAGAGATGTTCTGCCTACACCTTTTAGGACAGCATACCAAATATTCCATGGCTGCAATAAGTTATTCCCATCAGTGGGGCAAGTAGCTGAAGCTCAGGTGTGAGATGTGTCAGCTTCCAGGGGATGCCAGTTTAAATGAAATGAGCGTTGCACATTCATAATCAGCTTTGAAGGCTAATTCCATAATTCTAACCCTCCTTGCAGTTTGTGACATTGGAATCCCTTGAGAAATCTCAGAATAAATCTGACAGCTTCCTTACAGATTATACAGCACATCAGTTCAACTCTGCAATGCATTTTATGGGCATTTTTCAGTGGATAGGGTAAAAACTATGCAAAAGCACATATGGAGGGCTGGGAGTGGGATTGGGTATTTCTACACGTAGCTTGGGAAAAGAAATGGGGTTCTGGGTTTGATTTATGGTACCAGTGACTCAGGAAACATAATACATTTTCAGCTATTATTGAAATAATAATGTTGTTTTGTCAGAAATAGAAGATATTTCCAAGCCATGAGACGTTTTGCCATTAGCTTGACATGAATTGATAGTTTTAGACAATGAAGAATGATGTAGTCTATAAATAACAGTGAAAGAAGAGGTCAATCAGAGACATTAAAATTTAAAGACTGAATTTAACTTTTCTTGCAGAAAATTGCTTTCTCTTAATGCCAAGTGCTGCTTTGCTCTGGTTCAAGACAGCACTTATACATGTGATTAATTTAAAACATATGCTTACTTCCATTCCTATTCAGCAAAGCCTATCCTCAGCATTAATACAATGGCTGTATCTTTTCTCTAAACCTGGGACTTAAAAATACAGAGGTTCTAGTGGTGTTTTCCTAGGATATTATTTTTATGAGTAAAAATAATTTGGTTTTCTGTAAGAGTTGAGTTTTAGTCATTTTTTCCACTTTAAATTTTGATTATTTTCCAGGTCACAAAAAAAAAAAAGCGTATCATACTGTCATATTTTAAAGGAGATTGAAACCATTTCATAACCTTTAATTACATACTTAACTGCATATACATGTGCTCCAACAGTACCACCATGATCTGCTTTCCAGGAGACCTTTACCTTTTTTTGGTCATTTTGGGTTGGATTTTTTTTTCTGGTGTGTGGTATGTTTTGATTTATTTTTGGCTATATTTTTATGTATGTTACTTACTTTGCTGGATAGTAAATCATATTTAGAGCACTGTGAGGAGAGGCTGTGCAGTTTTTTGTGGAGATATA